GATCTCACTTCCTTCAATCGCAAATTTATATCTTGAGTTCTATTCAAGACAAATGGAAATTTATTTCATTAGAACCAAGGCAAATAAATCAGCTTTCAGATGATACCAATAACTCTACAAGCCCAAAAATTGACGAGTCCCCGATTCCACCGCGTCGTGACACATTATATGTTCTTTCCCCACAAAGTCTATGGAGGCAATGGTCTGTGTGCATAGTCTTGTCCTAATGGCTTCTCCATCCCATCCCATTCTTTTGTCTCGCAGGCAACCACGAGAGACAATATGTTTCCTCTGTTCAGCAAAGGACTACCTATTCTCCCTGTCCCAATAAATTCATTCTTTGTTATTTCAGATTAATTTTTTTCCTCAGTGTCTCTCTTGCTGTCTCATCTCCTCTATCTCGCTTTCCCTTTCTCTTCACAAAAGTGCACACACACACATATGCACTCACACACACACACACATAAGTGTATACACACCACTATCAAGCACCTCGCTTCTGCCAGTACCACTGTTGTTGCTGTATCTTCAAATGAAAACAAAAAAAAAGAAGAAAAAAAAAAGAGAAGAAAAAAAAAAGAGAAGAAAAAAAAAAGTGCTTGCAACTGGCCTGGCATGGCAGAACAAAAAAAAAAAAAAAAAAAAAAAAAAAAGAAAGCGGCTTTTGACCTCAACACGATCACTCTAGACTTGGGAAGGAGCAGAGGTAACTAGACAATGTTGATGTTGAAGGAAAACGCCCCCACCAGACACTAGCGGCCATTCTGCGGGCGGCAAACTAACTACTGCACAACACTTTGGACCATCAACAACACCACAGACAACTCTTGTCTACTAACCTCAGCTGACGTAGTACAAAACACACTACACGGATCTTGTGGATCATGGATGCGGACAAGGCTACTGAAAGAGATTACGTGATTTTTCTGGAGAAGGCCTACACTTCGTAGACTCCTCATGTTTCTCACAAAATAGCATAAAATTACAAACGGCATGGTCATAATGTTTCATCAAGAAAGATTTCTCGAATTCACCACTTTGCATAAAAAGGAGACTTGTACGAAAATGTGTCCATAAATCTGGACCACAATGTCCTACAAGCCACAGGAACAAAAGCTTTGGAACATCAGAGATTTCAAAGATTTTGGGGAATAAAAAAAAAAAAGAGAATTGCTCCCTCACATGGAGCAAGAGCTCATTACGTTCTCAAACTTCACAGTCTCTACAGAGCAAGTGGCTGGTTCAGAGTTGAGAGTCTACATCAAGGGTTATTTGTAATTCAATCAAAGTCTGTCAGTCCCAACTAAAGAATAATAATTTTCATTCAAATCTCACCCACCTGTGCTCCACTTTCACATACAACAGTTCATGAAGAACGTAGCATAAGGATAGAAGAAAAATAAAGGCTAAATAAATATAATAAAAATGTTTATGTTTGGCTGCAAAAAATCCCCGAATCAATCTACTACCACAACATATACCATAATTTCTTCAATTAATTGAAAAACCTAACAGGATAAGTAGGCCTATCCTGCATAACAGAAGACTATCCATGAATGAGCAATGACATTATCGTCGACGACCAAGTGTCAGCATAGCCCAACGTTGTGAACAGCCCACCGGCAGAGCAACATCCGACTCAGCGACCGTCTCATCACCAGACGCCACCACTCACCAAGCGACAACAGAGCCGGGAAATAATCCTGCAGTCTTTCAAGAAAGGATTCAGCAAAGTACATAATATGATCGACATTGAAACTTTTATATATTATAAGACTAGATAGAAAATCTGTTAGGTAACATTATTGACAAAACATTATCCCTTCAAATTATTTTCTAGGATATGCACATATCACGGGCATTTTTTTTCTGAAATATAAAAAGGCACAGGGCACTCAACTTATTTACGATGTTTGGCTTTCTTTCCTGAGGCTCTGTGCCCAAAAATAACAAATAAATCTGCACATTGCTGGATAACCTGCTACTCTGACATTTCGCTGAACACTGAAATCCAAGCTGTCATGAGCACGCAAAGCTTCCTTTAAAGACCGTCTTGCTTGTTCCTTATCTCGAGCGTGGGTAAGGTTAGTACCTTTGAGGGTGGAAGAAGAGAACGTTGAGGGGGGGAAAAAACCCAGAGCGAGAAAGAGCTGGCCACCTAGCCGCACAGACCAAGACTTCTCCGACCTCATCCTCAAAACATATATGTTTATATATATATATATATGGTCGCTTTTAAAGACTTGCGGGCTAACCCAGATTTTGCGGGTTTCCAGAAATTTTGACCTACACCAAAAGTTGGCATTACCCTATCTATAGGAGAAGTCTGGTTTCATTGGTGAGTATATTTGTTTGGTTATAGTATAGAGAAAACTCTACGTGTCTTTTAACGAAACTGAACAAGGGTAAAAAACTTTACCTTGGATTTTCTCAAAACAGCATTTTCCGGGATAGCCCCCTTGTCCTAAAAAGCGACAGTATGTCATGTCTACAAAAAGCAGAACAATAATTGCTGCACAGCTCATACAAAGTCCAGATATCAGAGCTTCTGGAATGGCAGAAAAATAGACTGTCCCCTAACAGCGTTGCAAGTGGCATTCAAGCAATATAATTCCCCACAATCAAGACCCCCTCAAGTTCAATGCGCCAACAGTGCCCCGGTCGACAGCCCAACACAACCTCAACTCTGCAGGCCACAACTTACCACACAACAACCCTCAACTACCACGAAACCCTCAGAAAAAAAAAAGAAGCAAATTTGGGAACAATAATATGAAACAATACGGGATAAGGCTACTATGGAAGGAGCAAATAGGCTGGGTTACAAAGGGAAATGAATGCACCATGCTCTACCGGAAGAGTGAAAAACTTTTATCAACAGCATGCAATAAAATACGCTACAGCTTGCTCTACGAAAGGGGGGACCACTCCAAAGTCTGAGACCACAGCCGACGAGTGTGAGCGTTTCATGAACACAGCACAGGGCACTACAACCACTTGCAAACAACTACACAAATAATGCTGGACGCACATTGCATACCGTAGCATCATATCACACAATGTACATACTCATACAAATGATTGACACAATAGATGAACTAGGCATTGTCTCTTTCCTAAGTTGAAAAGTTTGGAAATTTCATCGACCGAGCTAAAATCCTGAAAAAACCCAAACCAAAACGGTTGTTATGGGTAATTCAATACAAACTCCCACATATCTCTGCTTCAGCGAGAATTCTACAGCACGATAGATGTTTGACAGGAAAGAAGAAGCGAAAGAAGAAGCAAACCACACCACAGCACCCGTCAACCACCCACAACTTAGGTTCACCAACAATATTAACAAGAAAGTGTCAGCGGACTGCAAATACAACTCCAAAAAGTAATAACGACAACAACAACACTTTCAGAAGAACTTCTCACAGGGCTGAAACATATGGCGCTACGGTGCGACGAGGGAAGCAGGACTCGACGCGACGGTCGGGCTCTAGAAGAAACATCCGACTTTCACGTGTACACACATGACGCACAACAATGACATATCATGAAAACAGATTAGAGGAAAATAATTTGTGGCCCCATTACATTGTCACAGCAGTTGATTAGGCATAGGATTTGTGAGATAACATTGGTGAAGGAGAGAGACAGAGAGAGAGAGAGAGAGAGAGATCATTTTGCAGCTCCAGATTCTGCGCAGACTTTTCTACGAGAGAAAAACAAACAACATGGTTCAACAGACACCTAATGGGAAGTGGGTACCAGTATTGCCAAAATCCAAGGAACAATAATAGTAATAATTATACATAATAGATAGCCATTGTATAGCGCAAATCCCCGCTCAACAGCAAGCTCTATGCACTTTACAATCTAATACCATTACCCCAGCAGACCTGATAACTTTCTGAAACAATCTCAACTTCCTGAAAAGCATACAGAGCAAGCGGCCATTTATAGGCGCAAAAACACTATTGTACTGACAAGATCTTTCGCTGTCTATGGCTGGGTACCCATTCCCACCTGGGTGAAGTGAGGAAAATTTGTGTAAAGTGCCTTTCCCAAGGACACAACGTCAGGCCTGAGGCTCGAACCCCCAAACCCGCAACCTCATGGTTACGAGTCTAGCAGCCTAACCACTAGACCACCAACGCCACTCTTTTACAAACAATCAGATTCTGTTCACAACACTCACTGAATCTGGATAAGCAGTTTACTTTAAAAAAAACAACAAACAAAAACAAAACAAACAAAAAAACAGCCAAAGAAAAAATTCCGATGGAGGACACATCAAAGCCATCTGGTCATGAAGCCTCCGTGTGTTAGTAAACATTTCCCAATCAAACAGTCTCTTGTGTGGTGCAAAAAACACATAAAAAAGACATACGACAAAATACGTGAAATTCCCAACTACACGAGATGACTTCGCTACATTACAAAGGCGTATGTGCTCCAACAAATACTCATCCTACAAAATGGTAATGGGCATTCCTCACATTCTACACACATTTTATATATATATATATATATATATATAACATCTGCTCTATACACATACCATGGAGTAAAAGAGTATTCTTTTTCGACTGAACACACAAGGGAGAGAGAGGGAACTGATTGACCGCGTGTCTCAACCTTTGCAAACTTCACGCCACTCAACAAAGACCCCTCAAAAACCAGGGGCCACAAGCACAAAAAAAAGTATCTTTAGCGCTCAGCCCCTCAAGCTATAATCAGATGGATTGGTATCTCCCTTCCATATCACAAACGTAAAGCAGCGTAACATAAATCATTTATTGAAAAATTTAAAAATTGCAAGTTCATGGAAGAGGAGGAGGAGGAATTATGATGTAAGGTGAAATATTGCATGCAAAGCGTAGAACCGAAAAGATAAACTCCCCACCCCCTTCCCACCCACCCATCCACCCCCTTCCCTTCCACCAGTAAAAAAAAAAAAAGGTTCCCAGAAAATTGCAAAACAAAAAAACAACCCCTCCCTCCCCCCAAAACAACGAAACAAAAAAGCCCCGACTCCCAAGAAGCATCCCCCCCGCTGTAATCGGCAGCTCCGTCCTCATTCCAAGACCTTGAGATAAGTGACAGGCACCTTCCCCCTCTGTGAGCCTCGCTCCGCCATCAGCCAGTCGGGCTCCAGGCCTTGCACTTTGTACACCATGATTAGCTGGACCCCACGAGAGGGAGAGAGAGAAAAATGGGGGTGGGTGGGGGAGGACGAATTAGAACAAAACACTTAAATTTGTTTGTTGGAGTAAAGAGAAGCATATTTTGTACACCATGATAAGCTGGATCCCACAAGGGGGGAGAGAGAGAGAGAGAGAAAAAGGGGGTGGGTGAGTGAGTGAGTGAGTGAGAGAGTGAGGGGGTGAGAGAGAGAGAGAGAAAAGGGGGGGTGGGTGGGTGGGGGAGGACGAAGAATCTTTTCTCCAGAATGTCAATTGTCACGTAAAAAAATATTTTTTTGGCTCAACACTTGTTAATGTCCATATTAAAAAAATTTATCATGTGAATTTTATTGAAAAACGTTGATTAATGGCACAAAATATGAAGACTTTCAGTTTTTAAGGTCTCTCAAACCATAGAAGAGTTACAAAACTTTGGCAGCCATTTTACTTCTGAAACCAAGCTACCTTCACCTCCTTCAATAGCAAATATTTCAACTTCTATTTAAGATAGATGGGTATTTTTTTCATAGAAAGCAAAGCACGTGAATAAGCTTTCAGACAATACCAATAACTCCATATGCCCCAAAATTGATGAGCGACTGATTCCACCACGTCGCGACACAATTTTCCAACAAGAAAAAGGGCTTCTGTACTGAGACCTTTAAAAATGTATAAAATATGCTTTCAACGCACTGGTTGGCAGCTATGTTGACTGATAACCAAAATGCATTCGTTATTACTTGTAAAAGAAACTTTGCTCGATAAACTTGCAGCTGCAGAAAAAAGGCTCCACTGCTTTCAGTTACATTCTCACACAGATATATATATATATAATATGTCTTTGTCAAATCTTTTTCAAATGTTGATTGACCACACAAGGCTATTCCATTTTTCTAACTATACAAAAATTTCCTTCCTTTTCCTTCTTATGATAAATTCAAACACATTATTAGAGAGAACGGAATTCAGAGAACATTTGTTTCACAAGCAAAACATGTGGACTTTTAGCCCTTCAATTTCGAATCTAAATGTCATTTATAATACAATTCTTCATACCATTTAAAAAAATATTTCAGTCAGTTAACTTAATTCTAAAAGATTATAGTAGGGCCAGAAATACGGTAGGAGTGAGGCAAATAATTTTCTTTTCAACGGCTGACAGAACAAAATAAGGCGGCTGGAAGATCTTCCAAGCCTTGTTTTCAAAGTTCTAACACATTCTGGATACAAAAAGTTATGTGATGAGCACACGAGAGTCAATTATGCATAGAGTAAAATACATCAGAAAGGTAAGGAAAAAAGCATGAGCATGAGCTGATAAAGTGGCAAAACAGTAGGTGTGCAAGCAAAGGAGAAGCAGTCAGGCTTACCAAAGTTGATAGCGACAAAAAGTCAGGCAAAAATGATTTTAAAAATCAATGTGCTGGTGAAGGGTTGGGAGATTTTTCAGTACAAATATTTCAATTATTTCAACAGGCAAAAAGGTTTTCATTCTGACAACAGGCGACATGCTATGGACGCTTTTTCTAAACTCTGAATCACTCAGGGAAAAAGATTGCATCACTTATCTTAACACAATGTAATTTGAATATAATATACCTTTGTACGCCTTGCCTGTTTATAGGATAATTGCTCAAAACGAATGGCATTATCACTAATTACTCACCAAAAGCTTTAACATTTTTGAAGCATGAATTATTCACAAAATTTAAAAACTTGAACCCATCTTTTTCTTTCAGAACTTCAACTTCTAATTCTTATTAAAAAAAAGAAAAAAAAGGAATTTATTCTACATCATATTTTCTTTCTTTTAAAACCTACTAAGTTGTTTACCACAGTAAAACAAAAAGATCAAAGGTACTTCAATTACGCTTGCATCCAACAGGTCAGTCTTAGAGATTAATCTTTAGCGTCATACCATAATATTGTTAAGTAACAGTACGCATGCAAACAAAAAACACGTGTCGAGTAAACAGTAAACGGTTAACGGTATTATCTGACATCGACCACCGAGGGGGGAAAACTAACACAACACACATACAACACAAAACTACAGCAGTACAAAGTGACTGGGATATATTAAAATCAAAAGAGTCAAAAGCCTAATCATGCTGCAGCTAAGCAACGCCTCCTCCACTATACAAGCTGCACGCTCAACACTCATAGTGTAATGATGGACTTCATGCAAACATGCTGTGAGTTAGAAAGCAAACCTTACATTACATCCACAGAAACCAATATTCAAACCAAGTAAAAGCGAATGAAATTAAACTGCATAGAAAACACTGACTTGTTTTGTCTTTTATTAATGTTGATCAAAAGAATTTTCTTTGAAATAAAAAGTAAGAATGAACTGGGGGGGAAAAGTAATCCACATTTATTAACAAAACAGCCCTGTTTCTCATGACGAGATGAGAGGCAGTGAGTTTCACAACATATTTGAGCTTTGAGACAGAAGACAAACAGGACATTTTTTGTGTTTTCTTAACTCTTTCCGAGTAGTAACTTCGCTTATGTCTCTAAAAAAATTTTTTTTAAAATGCTGAAGTTGGAATATCAGCAACCACGAGTAAAGTGGCCTATCAACAAGTAAAGTGACAGTCGTGCAGTGAGCCGATGGAGCAAGACTTGCACACACACACGCACATACTGGCAGGCCACAACATGGGACACAGAAGAGCTCATACTGAAACAAGCTGGAAGGGAAAGAGGAGGGGGGGGGGGGGAGAGGGAAGGAAGGAAGGAAGGAAGAAGGGAGGTAGAGCTTTGCCTGAAGACTCAATAATTATAAGAATACAAGATGGAAGCTGACTTTTATGAAGGAGAAGGCAGTTTCACTTTAGCTCGTTGGAAGACTGAACACAGCAAAAAGGAGGGGGGAATGGGGGGAAGGAGGGAAGAGGAGCAGAACTCGAATTTTAAGTAAAATTTTCCTTTTTTTTCCCCTCTGCGCTTGCTCCCCTCCAGATCAAAGGTGTTGTTGACAAAACTTTTTCTTCCGAGTCAACCTAGAGTGCAACAGACACAGCTAACGTGGTCTCTCTTTCTTCTGGGGCCTACTGTCCCTCCCTCCCTGTGCAGCCATCATTCCCCATGCTGTTAATAAGATATGAAGAGCAACACACTGTATGCAGTCTGTCTCTATGGGGGTAGGGGGGATGAGGGAGGATGGAGTATAAAGGGCGGATGGGCGTTGTTTTCAAGGCCGGGTAGTTTTGGGGAGGGGTATTTTCAGCGTCACTTAGTTTTGGGGAGTGGTATATTCAAGGTCACGTAGTTATGGGAAGTAGTATTTTCAAGGCCAGGTTGTTTTAGGGGAGGGGTATTTTCAAGGTCACGTAGTTTTCCGGGTAATTTTGGCGCAGGATATATTCAAGGCTGGGAAGCTCGGGGAGGGGTACATTCGAGGCCGGTTAGCTTGGAGGGGGTGGGGGGAGGGGAGTGTGTCTGTCATTTTTTTTTACCTCGTCCGCCAACAAGGACAGCTCTGAGCTGTCCGCGGCGTCATAGTCATAGAGCGCCTTGGCCTGTCGTTTCTCTGTTGGCGTGGGGGCGGTCACCTCTATGGACGGCGGTGCGCTGGGGTGGAGGGGGGCCTTCAGGCTGGAGGACACACTGCCTGCGTCCTTGGTGTAGGAGGGGGGAGCAGAGGCCGGCGTGTAGCTGCGGACACAACGCGGGGAAGACAGACAAGACAGCTGCGGTCAGGTCACGTCACTCAGGACAGCTCAGCTCACCACCAGGACACGGCACAGTACAGCACAGCACAGCACAGCACCCACCACGCTGCTCTCACTCTCAAGTTTTGTTTGGGGTTTTTTGGGTTTCAGTTTGTTTTTGGTTTTGTTTGTTTGTTTGAGAGAAGAGAAGCACATTGATGACCCACAATAATGGTCATTTAGTGCCGGGGAAAAAGTAAGACAGACAGGCAGGCAGACAGACAGGCAGGCAGGCAGACAGACAGACAAACAGACAGACAGACAGACAGACGGGAACAACAGAGGGGAATTAGAGAAATAGGACCTACCAGGGGCACCCTCCAACCATCCACTTAGCTTCAGTAAGGAGAGGAACATACTGACACCACAATGGTCGCCTAGTGCAGAGACAAAAAAGCTACTTTTGAATTACAAAGTTCTATCTGCTCAGTACCTAGTTTTGAGAAATCTGATGTCAAAGATTTTCAGTCTCACAACATGTCAGGCTTTTTCGAATGCAATTCTTTGAATGTCTTGATATTGACTCAGAATAATCTTATGATTTTGATAGAGCAGAGAAAACATTTGGTTTCTGACCTCATGGTCTTAGAAACTCAAAAAGGGCCAAAAATATCAAGAAGAACGTTGTAATTCTGAGATAGCGAAAAAGCAACTCAGACAATCAGGAACAGTTGTCCATGTAACCGTTTCACGTCCTTTTCAACACTGTTTGGCCATTCATTTAGAGAGGCAGGACCTCCAAATTTAACGCCGGACTCCGACAGAACCACAGAGGGCAAACAAAAGAGGGAAGGAACAGTACAGAAGTAGGACCTACCACTACCGAGGGTGCCCTCCAACCACCTGCTGTGTTGTTCTCCACGCAGCTACAGACACACATACTTACTTAGAGACAGTTTTAGTAAGAGTCTTACGGCACTTGCAATACAATAAGGTTATAGAGACATCTCAGAGGCCCAACAACCAAGGAACTTAAAGAGCAGACCAAGGACAAGAGACTATAAAACCCATCTTTAAAAAAACAACAACAACAAACCAATGGGTACGTTTGGCAAAGGAAAATGAAAATGAAATACAAAAAAATCCCAACAACTGGAACTGTGGTTACAAGAGGTCAGGTAAAAAATTGCCGTCTTTTCCTCTAGACAAGCAAAAGTACATGAGACACACACACACAGCAGAGATGACAAGACAGGGTCAAAAGGACGCACTACTGACACCTTAATCCACCCCCCCCCCCCCCAAAGAAAAAAAGGATAAAATATAAAAAAAACAGGAATTTAAATAGGATATGCAAAAGAGGAGAGAAATGAGACACTGAATAAAAGTTTTCTTTTTAGTTTTAGTGAGGTTTTACGGTGCTCGCAACTGCGAAACGTCATATAAACGTCAAGGAAAAGTTTTCTTAAAAGAGGATGGCACAGGAAACCATCTACTACAAACCTACCCATAAAGCTCAAGGCACTCAGAATAAGGAGATATTGGCCCAACAACCCTCAGCAGGGAAACCTAGAACTCTACAGGAGCCTGGAGCACCCGCGGAGAACAGAATCCTTAACACAAGAGACTGGGACGTCCGTTTAAAGAAAAAATGAGAAAAAGAAGAAGAGGATGGCAAAAAGGAGACATGGGCAAGATGAATTTGGAGAAACAGCATGATGACTTGACGTAGTTCACCAGGAACAGACGACTGGTAAATCAGCGCAACACTGGCAGGAGGTAGAAGTAGAAGGTGCAGGAGACAGACATGACAGCATTCACCGACACACCAGAAACTAAACATATAATTGTTATAGCACGATAAGAAGAAGAAAGTTGTAAATATGAAGAAGGATACTAGATCTAGATCTAGATCTACACCATAGTTCATCTCAACAGGTAATAACTAGAAAAAAAACACAATAATAAAACAACTACAATATTGCTCACATAAAGGGGGAACACACATTCTCAAACAAGAAACAAAAATGTCTGAAGTATTCCATCATATTTCCAAGACTCTTTATGCTGCTGAAATGTGACAGACTAGCTTTAGAAAAATCCAAGGTTTGGTTTGCCCAGTTTTGTCCCTCTTTGGTGTCTCTCTCTCTCCTCTACTAAGTCATGTTCTATGAGTTCACTATGGTGCAAAAGTGTTCAAGAGAATGAAAAGGTGTGCAACAAGCTTAAAGTCTGTGCATTGGTGCGATGGTGAACTACACAATTTTCACTTTGTCATCTCGCTATCTCTCTCCCTTCTCTCCGCCAACCATCCAAATCATGAGTGGGACCGTTGGTTCAGTCAGACAAAAAGACAAAATAGTTTTGGTTTGTTTTAGTAAGGTTTTAAGGCGCTCGCAACTGCACAAGGTCATATGAGTGCCAAAGGGTGGATATCAATAGAGAAGTCCAAACGGAGAATCAGGCTTACTCTGCACACCTCTCTTGCCTCAACGGCACAAAGTCTGCTTTGACTATCAAGGCACCCCGGAAATAGCAGTTTACAAGAGAGTATGGTCTAAAATGCCTTTAGTAGCAATAAATAAATCTGCGAGGGAATTTTTTTTAGTATTCTTGTGTGTCTAATAGTCACTTTTGTTTTAGTTGAAGTTTCTGCCATACAAGAGCTGAAGTTTCTTTCTTTTTTTTTTAAAGAAAGTTAGGGACAGATAACGAAGTAAATATTTCTTTTTCAAGGGAGATACAAGTGGGTACAGAGTAAACGACGTACATATGTTAAAGAAGCTACAACTACGCGCAGAGCAATTAATAATTCCGATGGTGAAGAAGCGACGGTCTCTAAAAAAACACAAGAAACAACATATCAGGTAGAATGGGCAAAATTCCTGGAAGGACTAGAGACATTTGAACACTAGTGTAACTCTGTAAGTTTTTGGTTTGTTTTGATTGTATGCTGCAGCAGCACAGCGATTGGCTCTGGGAGACTAGTCCAGGCCACAAGGTCAACATCCTTGCATCTTTCTGACTCGGACTCAAATCCTCAACAGACTGTGGTAAACGTCAATCTTCATTCTCATTTATCCAAAATTCCCTATACCATATATTCAACGTGACAACGTAAAAAAAAAAAAACTCCTTAAAAAGACTTGTTCAGCGATTCAGTTGACTCCTTTACTAACTAACATTCTAGTACTTTCCCCATGCTCTTGACATTTTCAGATATAACACTGCTGAACTGACACATACTTTCACCAAATCTAGACACATCTTCTACAACCAAGCAGCCATTCTAAAACACCACTAGTATATTTGTAAAACAAACAAAAGACCAGTAAGAGACCCACAAAAAAAAAAAAAGCTGTTCGAACCTCAAAGCTACAAACATGGAACTTGCGCAAGGACACAGAAAAATCAAAGCGTCAAATCAAACTGAATATTCAGCAGATGTGAACAACAACTGTGTTGGCAAAAATAATTGTCCTGCTGCTACATTGTCGGAAGTAAGAAACAACACAGAGGGTCTCCAACAATAGCACAGCTTCCAGAGGGACACCCAAAGGAACAGCTAGACCACACACAAACACTCAAAGACCAGTGGGGAGGGGTAAGTGAAAAGAAAAGTAAGGGCTGTTATAGTATATATTTTTAAAAATAGAAATGTGAAATAGAATTCAGGCTGTCAAAAGAACTACGCAAAATAAAATAAAGTTGAAAAAAATAATGTAAAAAAAATTATATATATATTTGGAAAAAATAAAAACCACACTAAATTTGAAAGAAGACTTCCATAAAACACAAGGAGGAAGTTAGTAGCAAAGCCCAGCAAAGAACAAACAACCACCCCCACACAGCGCAGACCTCCAACAAGCTGACATGTGTGTGTGTGTGTGTGTGTGTGTGTGTGTCACATGTGTGGTGTGTCAAGCACTAACACTCTGAGTGACTGAGAACAACAGTACAACTAATAGTAGTACAATGTAGTAGTAGTAGCAAAACCACCTGGAGCACGCACCCGTGGCTGGCCGGGAAGGGAGGGAGCGAGGGAGGGAGGAAGGGAGCGAGTCTAAAGCTGGAGCGTGCTGGGAGAATCCTCTAGGGCACCTGTGTGCTCACCACTGAAGCTGCAGTTGTGGACGAGGCAAACACACGACGGGTGGGTTAAGTGGAGGAAGGAGGGGGAGGAGGAGGGGGAGGAGGAGGAGGAGGAGCCCCATGGGACATTGGAAAACATGAGAGACAGAGGAAAACATCGGAAACAATAAGTAAACCACACGGGACATAGGAAAAGATGAGAGACAGAGGAAAAGATGAGAGACGGAGGAAAAGATCAGAGATAATTAGTTAACAATAACAAGGAGGAGCCCCATGGGACATTGGAAAACATCAAAGACAGAGGAAAAGAATTAATTTTAATTTTAGGAAGAGTTTTGCGACACTTGTAACACAATAAGGTCATATAAGTGCCGAAGATTAGAGGTTATACAAGAGAGTGTAACAAACACAAAAAAAAAGAAAGAGGAGAGATCAGGATGATAGATGTTTGGTAGAAAAGAAGGGGCAAATCACACCAGAGCACCCACCAACCACAGAGGAAAAGATCAGAAACAATAGGTAAACAATAACAAGGAGGAGGACACCAAGATAATCAGTCATTAAAAAAAATAATAACAATAGCGATGATAAAAGGAATAATAACAATAAAATTAAAATAAGAATAACATCAATAACAGGATAATCACGACAAGAATGATTTCACATTTCCCATCCACACACACACACACACACACACACATACACACACACACACACACACACAGACATACCCACAAAACAGAATCATCTTCATAGAAAAGGAAGAAAAAAACCCAACCCAAAGCAAGTGTAAAACCTAAGTAAAAAATTGCAACAGAAAGAAATTTTGCTTTGCTCGCTTGTGAAATTGCCACCAAAAAAAGATAAAAATTATCTCCCACAAAAGAAATACCAGAAATCGGAGAAGACAAGAGTTCAAGAGGATAGAAAATACATGGGCTGTGTGAAGGAGGAAAAGTCAAGAACAAGGGGAAGAAAAAGAAAGGAAAAAACCCAGCTTGCAAGCAAGAGAGAATCACACGGTAGAGAAATGAGACAGGGATAAAATAAAACATTTTTAGAGACCAAAATAGAGACTATTCGACAGGAAAAATTTCTTGAAAAAACCCTGTCATTAAAAGAAATGAAAAGGTATGGAGAAGCAGATCCCAGGTCATGACCAAATGCAAGGAACAAAAACAAAACAAAAGACAAAACAAAATCAAATAAAGCAAACTCATACCTGGGAACCAAGTCGGAGGTAAAGGCAAGATGGAAAGAAGAAAGGAATAAAAAAAATTGAGGACATCCACATAATGAACGATTTCTATATATATATATATATATATGTAGGGACCACTTCACACCACCAATATCTGAACAAACACACACACACAAAAAAACAACAACAAACAACAACACACTCATAAATTCTTAACGTTTTCTCAAAATACTTTGAAACAAAAAATATCAAAATATATCATGCTACAAATGGATACACAATGGAAACTTTTCCTCACGAAAACAGTGTATTATCATTACCATTAGGCTGAAAGATATATCTAATCAAAACTGTCTCTAAAGATGTATAGACACAAAGATATGGTCGCTTTTAAGGACAAGTGGGCTAACCCAGATTTCAAGGGTTTCCAGAAATCTTGACCAACACCAAAAGTGGACATTGCCCTACCTATAGGAGAAGTCTCGTTTCATTGATATTTGTTTGGTTGTAGAGAAAACTCTCCTTGCTTTTTTAAAGAAACTGAACAAGGGGCACAAACTTTACCTTCGATTTTCTCAAAACAGCATTTTTCGGGATAGCCCCCTTGTGCTTAAAAACGACCATACAAACGCATGGGATGGACCGATTTATCTGTCATCCTAAGACACGAATGCACCCATAGGCTAAGCCTACTTTTTAGCATAGCTGCTTTTAATTTGTAAAGGGGTTGCACTACTCTTTAAACAAACCAAAGGATCTGGACTAAATTTCTTTTCATTTTCAAGACAGGATGGATAGCTGGAAGAAAACCTTACACAAGGCTTCAAGACAAGAAGGGACAGACAGGTGTATGGTGGCAACTAGGCTGCGTGATAAGTGCGACAATTTACTAAACTACTATACTTATATTCCGCAAGGTTCGTCTACTTTACCATTCTGACATTTCTACTGATACTACTGTGTAGCCTGCATCCAGTGAAAATGGTAAAAAACAGTAGCCACTTTGCTTCAGCTTGTTAACTTTAGCCCTTCATTTAAATTTTGAGGCCTGAAGAGTGTGTGGTTTCTTCTATAAAGTGACGCAAAGTTTGGCACGACCGCGACTTTACATACAAATAAACAGATGAGTGAGAGTGCTGTCACAAGATGGCTCTACCGGTGGAGTAGGCGTGCATGGTGTGGGACAATGTCAGACTCACAGAAAATGTTGACGTTCAGCTCGTGTTTCTCAAGATCACCAGCTGACAATACATAGAGATACTCTCTCACAAGTGGCCATAGCCCACAAGGTCTTGTAAGACCTACTGCCATTCTAGTTCAAGTTCTCAGACTAAGGTTTACGACTTCTAAAAAACAGAAACCTGGGGCTGACGGGCACTCTGGTGTGGTTTGCTCCTTCTTTCCTATCAAACATCTATTGTCCTGACCTCCCTCCCTCCTCCCCCCTTCCTTTGTATGCTATTCTCTAGGAACACCTCTAATCTTTGTCACTGATATGACAACATTGTGTCGAAAATGCAGCAAAACTTTTACACAAGCTAAACCTAAAAAAGAGAGACAATACTTGGGTCACCTTGCTGCAAGGCTAGAACATTAGTTGTTTCAATTGTCCCCAAAGAACTATAAAAGCTCAAAACCTTAGATAAAGTCCAAATCTCTCTCACCCTCTATTCCTCTCCCTCTCTCACACTGCTCACTCCACATGTTCATAATGTAACAGCTAAAACTCATCTGTAGAGCCCATTATAAAGATACACAGAAGCTCTCTGTGAGAGGTCCACATTACTAAGACTACATACTCCATGTACCACACCAAGCACCACTAAAAAACTGGATCACATCTAGTCAACACGCTTTATTGCACAGTTGGCCTAATACATTTTCACCACTTAACTAACTCAGTATGGATACCTAGCGGGCTTTGGTACTGGGGGGAACTGAGCTCCTATGGACCTGTCCGGTGTGCAATGACGTTGTTGCCCAGGACAGGCAATGCTTAAGTAACTGGTCAAATATCCATAACTTTCCTAACCGCTAAACTTTACTGACAAATATTATTATCAAGCACGATTAGTTTTCTCATATATTTCTTAAATTAAAGACATTCATGATTTTGACGCATTCAAAGAGGTCTGCCAAAGAAAAACACAAGAAAAGTGTTTACTTGAAGAAACGAGAACTTTGTACCAGAAAACTGAAAGTTGGACGAAAATGGAAGATCATGTGGAGTCTCTATCACTTCTCTAAATAAGTCACTCTAACATTTCAGAAAAATTGAATCCCTGCACAGTCATCTAAACATTTTTTTTCCCAAAATAT